GGGAGGGGAGAGGTGGGAAATAATGCTTGGTATACAGTAGGAATTGGAGCAAATCAGGTTTAGGGGAGCCTGAATCTTATACAATTTGGACAGGCCTTTTCAAAAAAGAATATAAAATTACCAAAGGCATAAAGTTGACTATTTAGAATAAGAAAATAAGGGGCCTTAGAAGAGATCTGTGCAAATGGGGAGCTCTGACATTTAAGCTTCATTAGCTTCATAGCAAACCTGCTTCTGAAAGGAACTCATGTTAGTTGGAGAGAGGGAGAGAGGGTGGAAGGAAGGAAGCTAGTTTTAGCTCATGCTCTTTAACCCCTTTACCCCACTAATAAGGATCTGAGCAGTGATCATAAATTAGACTAAGTCCTACTAGATAATAAGACACAACTGGCTGCCATTATGTGCTTGCCTTTCTGTGTCAATTACTAGCTGTAAAGTCCTAGTGCTTATGGAGACCTGTTGTCTTTGGGTAAGAACCTTCATGATACCAAGAGGGATTTCTTCAAGAAGTTACTGTTAGTGTCTGTTTCTGGATATACATCCAGGCACGGTCAGGATTCTCTCAAACCTGCCCATGCACTTGGGAAAGGGAAACAGCAACAGATGTTAGCTCAAGCTTAACATTCTCTGGGTTCAGATTCAACCCCTCCTGGTATGAATAAGCCCTTAGGCCCTTGGAGCACTCTAGTTTCATTACATAGGGCTGTGTCCATATCCAGTTACTACTATGCGCCTTCCCTACGATGGCTATGACTAGTCAACACCCAACCAGGGACAGCTACTGCCCCGGGATTTCCTTGCCCCAATTCTGAGCTATGATTACAGATGGCCTATCTACCTATCCATACCCCCACTTTCAACTACAACTTTCCATGCCAGCGTTGAACTAACAGGTTCACTGCCCTCTAATATTTCTTTTGAAGCTTTTGAAGTTTTGGCTAAAAATTATTTCTCACTTATACATTAGAGTAGCTTAGTCCCAAATTGGTTCCCCAGCTTAAGATCTCTTCCTAAAGTCTGGAGTACTGTAGGCAGTTGCAGAAATATATGTCATTGGGAGAACTAGTTTATACTGTCATCATTTTAAGACTCCCACTTATTGATAAAGGACAAAGGTTAAGAGTTATGACTATAAATTCCATAATTGATTGAGAAGTTGGGAGGCACCCAAACTGCTTTCAGGCATCTTAGAAAGAAGCTGAAAGGCTATTTTGGATCTGTCCCAGCAGGTTTTTGGGTTTTTTTAATCACAGATACATTTTATTTTATTTTTTTGTTAATCCTCACCAGAGGATATTTTTTCCATTTTTTTTTTTTTTTTTTTTTTTTTT